ATAGAGAAATAGCTAACTGCGATCGAACCCTAATGAGCTCTCCGGCCACGAATATCAAACCGCCGATCGAACCTCGACTTGATCCCCCGGACTTGCGACAAAACGAGTTTCCCCGACCAATTGAGGCATATCCGCAGAATTCAATTCCCGCTGGGACATCCAAGAAGCGACGCTCCACAGGGGTTTTTGACAGTCAAAGAGATGATCCAGTGCAGCCTCATCCCGCAACCCCCGCACACCCAGTTTCACCAAAATTAAGTTTCAGGGACCTATTGAACAAGAACCGACCGCATGTGACTATCACACCATCGGATGAGGAGGAAATAATGAAAGATAGCATCACGGTTGTCATGAATGGACGCTCTGGGAAAATCCTTTTCTCTGACCCTTTTTGGGAGTCGTTATTGCAGGAATGGAAGCACGCTGTGGTGGTGCGATTACTTGGCCATTCCCTCTCACCCTTGATGATGCATAAACGGTTGTCGTCCCTGTGGCCCTCAATTAGGGATAGCCCAATGATGGATCTGGAGAATGGTTACTACGTGGTCCGGTTTGAATCAGCTGAGGACCAATTACGGGCTCTTACGGATGGACCTTGGGTGATTGCAAACCACTATCTCCACGTCCAGCCATGGACTGTGGGGTTTGACGCGGCTAACATCAAAACGCAGTCGATTGTGGCGTGGATTCGACTGCCCGGGCTCCCTGTGCAATTCTATAATAGCAATGTCTTCCAGTCAATTGGGCAAATCGTGGGCAAAGTAGTGAAAATTGATTATCTAACAGCGGAACGTCTTCGGGGTAAATACGCTCGGTTGGCCTGTTTGTTGGATCTGTCTCAACCTCTATGCTCCGACTTCGAGATTGGGGGACGGACTCAAAGAGTCGAATACGAAAGCCTACCGGACATATGCTTCACCTGTGGAATGTACGGGCATGGGTCGACTTTGTGCCCAAAGAATCGAGAGGGAGGGGAAGACCGACATCAAGAACCTCTGTCCGGGGACGGACCTATGCCCGCTACGGGACATGGTCAGGCTGAAATGGCTCAACAACCCCCTCCAACGGGACCGGGTCCGTGGATGGTAGCGCAAAAAAAATCACGGCAATACACTAGGACGTCAAGAATGCACAACGCTTCCTCGTCCAAACCACAAGACGGAAAACTAAACTCAGGATCTCGATTTGAATCCCTCTATGAGGAGGGAGTGGGGGACAAAGATGAGCAAAGGGGAGAGTGGACGTTCATGGCAAAAGCTGGGGACAAAGATAAGGGGAGTGGACCGAAAGTCTGGAAACCTAAAAGAACAGAAAGGAGGCCAGAGAAGGCAAAACATGTGGCAGGACCGTCAGGAACCAACGTGAGGAGCCCACCGGTGATTAGCAAGGGAAATATCGGGAACAACAACCGACGTGATGATGCAGGCCGCGTTAATACTATGACGCGTGAAGAGTTGACACATCTAAAAGGGAAAGAAATTGCGCACGATAACCTACACATGGTTCCCGCTACAAGCTTCCTGGACCCTAAACGACACCAAGCGGTCATCTTCATCAGATCTTCCCCGGAGGAAAACGCCATGGCAGTGGATCCCCAAACATCAATTCGGCAGGATCCACCCCTTCAAGAGGAACCCCCGGATGCTTCAGAGTTGTCTAACACCGAGCAGACCATGCGGTTGGATAGTGATGATACGTCTATGAACCCTGGGGCGGCTAGCCCATGCTCGATCTGATGGGTTGGGCTCTCTCTCTCCATAGTTTCCTCCATGAATTATATGGCCTGGAACGTTCAAGGAGCAGGCTCTAGTAGATTTCGTAGAGCTTTCTCAACAATTATCGCCCAACACCAACCAGATGTGGTGGCTTTGTTCGAGCCAAAGATTAGCGGCGTTAAAGCAGACGAGTTTATTCGTAGATCAGGATACCATCGGTCATTCCGAGTAGAGGCCACGGGATTCTCAGGTGGGATATGGGTACTGTGGAGGGAGAGAGCCGAGGTGACCGTCCTTCAATGCCATAAACAATTTGTCCATCTCCATGTTAAGATCGACGACAGAGAGTCCCTTATCACTTTCATTTATGCTTCACCTAACCCGCGTGGCAGACGGGTGCTGTGGGATCGTCTACATGATGTGGCTTCGTCCATTAGTGAACCTTGGCTGATTGGTGGCGATTTTAACTGTATCTTGCGACCGTCAGAGAGATCTGGGGGCTCCCTTAATGGCGGTAGAGCCTGTGATGCCTTCTCGGACTGGATATTTGACCACAGTTTGCACGAAGTCAAAACGGATGGCACTAAATTCACATGGGGTAGACGGGACCTTTCTGAAAAACTGGACAGGTTCATTTGTAATGAGCTTTGGCTGAATCGGTTCCCGGAGGCCTTTGTTCTCCATGCAACGCGATTACAATCGGATCATACCCCTCTCGTCGTTCGTTGTAATCCGGGCCAGCACGCGTCTCGAGGACCCAAGCCCTTTCGGTTCTTAGCCCCGTGGCTCCTCCATGACGGATTCCAGGATGTCGTTGCAGGATGTTGGTCGGGGAACGAAAATTTTATGGATGCAGCCAAGTCCTTCTCTCTTGCGGCAAGTGACTGGAACTTTAGAGTTTTTGGAAACATCTTTACTAAAAAGAAAACTCTTCTGGCACGTATTGGCGGAATTCAACGCTCACCACACTATCGCAGATCTTCTCAACTTTCTCAGTTGGAAAAGACCTTAACGGCCGAACTGGAAGAAATTTTACTTCAAGAGGAAGTCCTCATGATCCAAAAGTCGAACCGTAACTGGTCACTCTTTGGAGACCGTAACACGGCTTTCTACCACCGGCAGGTCAAAGCAAGAAGGCGTAAAAACAAAATAGTTGCACTGAAGGATGACACGAACAACTTGATCACAGACCCGGATGAATTACGATGCATGGCCGTCAATTACTTCCAGTCTATCTATGCGGCCGACCAGGTGGGTCCTTTGCCCAGGACCGCTGACCCACGCTTCCCGGCTTTAAACCCGCAGGTCCTGACATTGTTAGACCGGGACGTGTCCGAGGATGAAATTTCGAGAGCTCTCAAAGAAATGGACTCCCTTAAAGCGCCGGGAGCAGATGGGCTCAACGCGCTATTTTTCAAAAGTCAGTGGGAATTAGTAGGAAAGTCCGTGTGCCTTTTAATTAAGTCAATTTTTCGGGGAGGAGACATGCCAGCTGATCTTAACCAAACCCTTATCGTCCTCATCCCCAAGTGCGACCAGCCCGAAACGATCAAACAATTTCGTCCTATCAGCCTCTTAAATGTAGCGTATAAGTTGTTAACGAAGGTGGTCACCAACAGGATGAAGCCGCTTCTTCCCGGGTTAATCGGCCCGGCACAATCCAGTTTTATCCCGGGCCGACAAATCCAAGATAATATCATCGTGGCTCAGGAGCTCATCCATACCATGAGGACTAGAACGAGTTCCACAGGCATTATGGTAGTAAAAGTCGACTTAGAGAAGGCATATGATTTTCTGAGATGGGACTTTGTTGAGGAAACTCTTATTCTGGCTGGATTCCCACCAAGATTTGTGAACGTCATTATGAAATGCCTCACGACGGCGTCCATGCAGATCCTCTGGAATGGAGTCCCGAGCGAAAAATTCACCCCGTCTAGGGGGGTGCGACAAGGTGACCCTATATCCCCCTACCTATTTGTCCTTTGCATTGAACGATTAGCGCATGGTATCCAAAGTGCAGTAAGTGACGGCACGTGGAAGCCGATAAGTGTCGGACGTGGCCGAGTCCAAGTCCCTTATTTGTTGTTTGCGGATGATTTACTTCTTTTTCTGGAAGCATCAACCGATCAAGTACACACACTGAAAAGGGTCCTCAACGACTACTGTCTACAATCCGGTCTGAGGGTGAGTGAGGCTAAAACAAACATCTTTTTTTCGAAGAATGTTAGCCCCGACAAGCGCCGTGCTCTCTCGAACCTAATAGGGTTTAATATGGTAGAGGACCTCGGCTACTACCTGGGAGTCCCGCTTATCCACGGACGAGTCAAGAGACACACTTATGAGAAGATAATTGAGAAGGCAGATGCCCGTCTAACCGGCTGGAGAGCGACATCTTTATCCATGGCCGGCCGTGTGGTGATGGCTCAAGCTGTAGTTAGTTCTATACCGTACTATACAATGCAATCGGTACACCTGCCTAATTCCATATGCACGAGCATGGAGAAACGTATCAGACGATTTATTTGGGGAGGCACTGGTGACAAACGGAAGCTTAGCCTTGTTCGATGGGAGGAGGTCTGCATGGCGAAAGAGTACGGCGGCCTGGGCCTTAAACGGCAACGGTTGATGAATGAAGCTATGTTAATGAAATTAGGATGGATACTCCTCACGAACCAGAATAAATTATGGGTTCAAATTTGGAAAGCGAAATATGGGAACACCCCTTTTGCCGAGATTGCTGGCCGTAGGAAACCACGTTCGGTGACTATCCAAGCTGTTCAAAAAGTTTGGAAACATGTAGTTAGTGGAGCACGTTGGGCGGTTCGAAATGGCGAGACGGTAAAATTCTGGACCGATAAATGGCTGCATTCGGACACCACCTTGCTCAGCGTCGCCACGGGAGCTATCCCGACTGACTTAATCGAGCAAAACGTCCTTTTTTTCGCCTCGGAGGGGGGCACATGGCGTTGGAATTTATTTTCCCACTTGGTGCCGTCTTCCGTGTTATTACAAATCGCAGCGATCCCGCCGCCACGAGAGGAGCTCGGTCGTGACCAATTATACTGGGGCCCCTCGGTCACCGGTAAATTTACCACGGGCTCTGCGTATAAATTTTTAGAAGACGAGGGCGCATTGATGTCGAGCCAGACCCCCATATGGCGGGCCATTTGGCAGTGGCCGGGCCCCCAACGAGTACGAAATTTCCTGTGGTTACTGGCGAAGAACCGACTACTCACAAACGTCGAAAGACGGAGGCGTCACTTGACCTCTGTTGCCCTATGCGAGCTGTGCAGCCAGGCCGAGGAGACCATCTTGCATGTTTGTCGTGATTGTCCAATGGCTGCCGAAATTTGGAGACAACTAGTGCCAGGTACAAAACATAATGTATTTTTCTCTTCGAACCTGGAGCAATGGATATTCTTGAATCTGGTGCACCCATCGCGGATAGAGGTAGACACATGGGCGAGCACTTTTGGGGTGGTAGTGTGGAAATTATGGAGCTGGCGAAACGAGAATCTGTTCAAGGGAAAGAAACGTGACGTAGCCGGTGGATTACACGAGATTTCCTCATATATTGCGGGGATGGTGAAGGTGATCGACGGTGCCCGTAAACTCGGGGAGACTGGCCGAATGAGAACATCACAATGGATATGTTGGGAGAAACCTCCGTCGGGATGGGTCAAAGTAAACTCGGACGGCTCCTTTAATCCGTCGTCGGGAATGGGGCTGGCGGGAGGCCTGGTCCGTGATGATCAAGGGCACTGGCTTGGTGGCTTCACATTGAACATAGGTATTTGCTCAATCATGGCGGCAGAATTGTGGGGAGTTTTTCGAGGTTTATCCCTGGCATGGGATCTGGGGTATAGACACGTAGAAGCGGAAGTTGACAATGCGAGTGTCGTGGCCTTCGCTACATCTCTTGATGATGTCCCCGGTGTGCACATCGGGCTAGTGTCGGGCATCAAGGAACTTTTGAGTCGCCCGTGGGTGGTGAAGGTGAAACACATTTTCCGTGAAGCGAATTATGCGGCCGACTTCTTGGCCTCCTTCGCTGCGGAAGGCCCTATCGGATACCAATACTTCAATGACCCGCCAGAGGGTATTCGTCAATGGCTACAACACGATCTTATTGGCGTAGCCTACCCACGAACCGTCCGTAACGCAATCCTCTAGGCCTCAGGCCTCTTCCTTTGTACCAAAAAAAAAAAAAAAGCTACAACCATCAAAGCTAAATTATGCGAAGAGAGTATATAGTGAGAAATACAAAAGCATAATTACTACATGAAATTACTTTTCAGAAAAGAAGACGTCTCTTTTTACTTGAATGAAATCCAGAAAATAAAATCCCTAGAATCAGTGTTTATTTAGATGTGTGCTTATTTTTAATATTGAAAAATCTTTCCGTAATCTTTCTCCTACTAAAATCTTTGTGTAAGTTCATGCATCAAAAATATTTTTAGGATATTGAAAATCTTCCACAATTACAATGATGATCAACAATTTTTTAGGATTATGACAATATCTCAGCTTACTTTTATTACCAACACTTTGAATACTAGAAAATTGGGCGCGGTCATCAATTTTTTCGCCAAAAATGTATATTAATTCCACAATAGAAATTAAATAATTATGCTCTAGTTGTGTGGATAAGTTCGAATATTCCGAAAATTTAAATGGGTAAAGTAAAATATGCACAAAGTTATACCAAAAACCGACATTATTGGTAGGTTAAAGTAAAAAGTAAATTCAGAAAAGAAAAAAAAAAGGTAAAAGTAAAAGAAAATTAAAAGGAAAAGAAAAGAGGAAAATAAAAAAGCGTAAATAAGCCACGTCGTATTTTAATAGAGATGACTCTTCAAGACTTCACCTCTCTCCCTAATTTCTGTTATTCTATTCACTACGTCTCAACTCTCTCTCTCTCTCACTCTGTAACTTTTTGTTCTCTGTCGAGTATTCGTTGAATGATGATCTTCAAGTCATGAGACAATCGCTTCATACTTAGATTAAGTTTAATTCGTCGAAATCACTGTATCTGTTTTATTTTTTATTATAGATTTCAGCTCAATATTTTCCTTCTCCAAACTATCAGTGAGTTTTCCTCTTTTGCTGCCATTAATTTTTGCTGCTTTATGGATGTCGTTGTATGTTTCTCTTTGAAATAGTTTTCTGTGGTTTTGCTCGTTGAGTTTTTGTAATTTCTCCCATGGCAAATTTGGGTGATTGTTAAATTATATTCCGTTTTTCTCTTGANTTTGGAATATCGATATCAGCATAGCTAGGGTTGAAGGTTGGATTATGAGAATCATGGGATATTTATGTTTCCTAAGCCCAAAAGTGAATTGACAGAAACACTTCCTTTTTTCTCCAAATGGGATGTAGGATTTTTATTTCAGACCATTTTAGTTGGGGGAATTTCTCATTTTCTTAGAATTACAACACTAGCACATGTAATTCTTATTTCTTGCTGTTGATGCAGATGAATGGCATGATTTTATCAATCTTGGTGAAATTAGTTGGTATATATTGTGTGAAGACAGGAGTTGGCTTGTTCCATGATGAGTGTATATTAAGTCTGTTGAATTGTCTAATGATATGATATCCATATACATATTTCATTGTGAAATGTTTTTAGGAAAAATGGCTGGACAAGCTGTTGCCAATCGGCCTGCATCATCATTTGAGTTTGAGCTTGTTGAAGGAGACTCTGGTGACAGTAGCACTGTTATTGCAGCACCTAACCAGAATACCCCGTGGATCGACCCAACTACAATCAAGCTAAGGCACCGAATTGGAAGAGGGGCTTTTGGTGATGTTTGGCTGGCGACTCATCACCGAGTGTCATCAGATTATGAGGAGTATCGTGAAGTTGCTGTTAAAATGTTGCATTCGGTGAAGGAAGATAACATTAGGGATGTTTTGAATAGGTTGGACAGTATAATTTCCAAGTGCCAGGGGTTGGAAACAGTTTGTTTGCTCCATGGGCTTTCTGTTATAAATAAGAAAGTGAGTTTTACTGCTTGAGATTTTGTCAATTGTTTCTTGGTTTTGCTGGCTTCACAGTTAACCATCATAACTGGGGTAGTTATTAGTTAATAGTGAAAGAAGATTTTTGATACTAAATTTGTAATGACTAAATGTCTTGTTCTGTTCTTTTAGATATGCATCATTATGAAATTTTATGAGGGCTCAGTTGGGGATAAAGTGGCTCGTCTTAAAGAAGGGAAGCTGACACTAAGTGATGTTCTGAGGTGATTTTTTAATTCTGTATCAGAAAAATGTATTCTTTGAAACTTAAAGCATGATAGACTTCACTCACTGCAACTGTGTTTGTGTCTGTGTATGTTGTGT